GAAGGAATGTATCGTCGCGCAATGCATATTTTTTAATTTTTTTTTTCCATTTTTGTTTTTTATTTGTATGTATTGTAAATTTTTATTTTATTATAAATAAAAAACTCAAACCTAATTAAACATTAAATTAATTATACAACTAATTTACTATCCCAAATAGAAATTATAATTAATGCAAATATTAATACTCATCCACATAACATATATTTTTTTCATTAAATTAAATATAAAGTCCACAAAATCTTATTAAAAAAAAAAAAAAAAAAAAAACAACAACAACAACTCTCATCAACTTCAATCCTCCACCTACAACACATCAAACTTCCACTGCCGAAAACTCTGCTGGAAAAGCCCATCCACATAAATCCGTTGCTTCTCATCGGTTTCATCAACATCCCAATGAACCTACATTAATGCCAGTAACAATAAATTAGTAATTTAAAAAATATTACGTTTTAACAAAAAAAATTGTTCATTATTTACCATAAACTTACCGATAACTTTCCTAGCATGGACTTCTTCAACTCCTCAGAGACCTTTTTCCAAGACTCAAACTTGGCAGAACAATCCCTCTGTAACAAATTCCCAATGTCATACTTAAATTCAGCGTACGCCTCAGCCACATTTCTGCCTTTAAAGTACAGCACTTGCTTCCGTCGATACCTCTCTATTCGCACTACAAGTTTTTTTTTTGCCAGAACCTTCTCCAGAATCGGCCATTTTTTTGAAACAAATTTTTTTTTGAAAATTAGGGCTTTGAAACTGTGTTTATATAGCACTAGGACACCTTTGCGTGACCAACATATTCGTCGCACAAATTTCAAGTTCGTCGCGCAAAATGCGTCATCTATGCGTAATTAATTGGAAGGTTTAAATGCAGACTGACCGTGCTTTGCGTGACAAACACATGGATTCGTCACACAAATATGCCTTACGCGACGAAGTTAGCATCGCTCAATATATTGCACGACGAATAAAATATTAATTATTTTTAGAATAAATATTTAAGGTATTATGTTTAATACATTAAATATTTATTCTAAAATAATTAATACTTTAAATATTTATTCTATAAATAATTAATACCTGAAATATTATCCTATATATAATTAATGCCTTAAATATTTATTCTATATATAATTAATGACTTAATCCATACAATTATTTTCAGCATAAGTACAATATTCATTGAAGATTGTAAACACATATAAACCGAGGATAGGGTGCTTACATTAGGTTTCAATAAAAAAAACCAACATGAATTGAAACCTAATTAAGTCCAAATACATAATTGAAACATAATTAAGTCCGAATACATAACTTATAAAAAAAAAACCTTAAATTTAAATATTGTCATACAAAACATAAATTTAAAACTATTATTTGGATGATTCTAGTCCATTCCGCAAGACTTCATAACGCCATCGATTGTAACCTCCCTCCAATGCATTATCCATCAACTTTATCAAATGTTCATTCGTATCATCATCAAAAGTATACTTACCATGTTACACATATATACAAATAATTAATTCCAACATATAACTAAAAATTTCACAAACTTAATTATTAATTCATCAACAATAATATACTTACTAATACTTCAACCATCACAACCTTCTTCACATTCCCAGGCACATCTTCCCAAGAACGTCACTCAGCAGTGGGACAATTATTCCCCATGGCCACAGTGATCGCATGCGCAAACTCAAAATGATCCCTTAAATCATGCGGGTTGGCATCGCGTACACTCTCATCCTTGTTCTTATCCGCCATCCTAGCACAAACAGAATTTTGAAAAATAAGGATAATAGAATTGTGAAGAATCATGACAGCAGAAGTGCATATTTATAGGTAGGTTAGGACCTTTGCGCGCCGAATCCTTTGTCGCGCAAACACCTGTATTAAATGTAGTATTAATTCCTCGGATTCACCTGCAGTAAATGGTCAAAACTGACAGAAACTTGCACGACGAATTATTGGTCGTGCAAATGCCCCTTTTCGTCGCGCAAGTTTTTCGCGCCAAACAAAATTAATCCATGTTTTCTTGTTGGCTTTACATGACGCCAACATTTATTTGTCGCGCTAAGTGTTCTTGTGCGACAAAACTCTTCGTCACGCAATTTATTTTTTCTCCTATCTTTTCTATTTTGCACGACGAAGAGTATTTTTCGTTGCGCAAGTACGTATTGAGTGACGAAATATTCTTCGTCGTGCAAACTCCTTTTTCTACTAGTGTTAGGGTTTTCTAAGATTATATAAACAACTTTTAGGGTTGTATTTTGACAATCTTTCATATTATTCAATTATAATTTTGAGGTTTCTCATATTTCCGGTGGATTCCGTAGTTTATGTTCTTTCAAGAATAATGTTATTTATTTTTCTCTTTGTCATGCTGGACCATAAAGCATAAATATTACATATGTAACCTAGACCTAGATTATCTGTTTATCACAAACATCAAGTGATGGAGCACAGCTGCCTTTTGTTGCTATATCGCTGCAGGTACGTATATATTGGCCCTCGTCTATTTTCAAGATTAATAATAAACTGCAAACCAATTTTGCATAAGGGATCTACTTTTGACTAATTGGTAACTTGAAAAGCATTATAATTTGTTTCCTTTTCCCTAATTTCTAACTCTCATGAAATTAAAAGAATATCATGCATGAAGGGCATCTGATATGATATTGGATCCCCTTTTTACAGAGATTTTGTACAGCTAGAAAGACTTTGGTCTAACAGTAAGGTGGCATGCAGCAGTGAATTAATGGGAATCGAACCAGTCATATTTGAAAGCATATTTCTCTGCTGTTTGAATCAAATTTACACAAAGAATCTCCAAATATTATTACGCCTTTTTTCTGATAATCAGATCCTTTAGGCATCTGATTATCTGGGTAGCATTAAACTTACTGCACCGCTGCATGTGGAACCAATATTTAAACTTTTCTGAATATATATAGTTTATGTGCTCAACGGTAAATTTGAAATTGCAATTTGGCCACATGTTTCATAATTTCCGTTTGACTGATAAAAACCTATTTAAGCCCACTAGGGTTAGCCAAGTGGTGGGGTGATAAGTCCAGGATTTGTAACCCTCGAATGTAACAAACAAATTAACAAAAGCCTTTTAACATACTATATATATGTATATATTGTACATTAAGAAATCCACCCATATCTCGCAATTGCAAACACAGAATATATACAGTTATTGGTTTACTACTATAAATATTAGATTTGATTCTACTTTTGGACCCTCGAAATCCCTGTATATATGTACAAATGCGTGCAGACAATCTAGTGCAAAATGCAGTTGTTGAAGAAACAAAAACTCGAAACTTGAAATGGTAGAAAAGCTATAGTTAATTTGACAAACTTTTTCCATGGTTATTAGATCCCTTTGGTGTGGACACTGAGAAAAGCACGAGCAAGACATTGTGCACAAAACGACCGCCAAGAACTTACCTCCAAGAACTTTACAAATTTTCAACATGAATCCTGCTACACACGTACGGTTCCCCAGTTTATCTGATGCACTAATCCTACTAAGAAAAGGTTAAGTTTAAAACGTACTCTTAATCCTTCTTACATTTACTTATTACTATATATACATGTTTATATAGTTTTATTCAGAATCACTTGTATTGATAGTTAATTGGTAAGTAGTACCAAAATAGAAAACATTAGCAGTGCAATTTTGCAGACCGTCCTAAATTAGTAGTGAGCATTATCACCATATTGATTTTCATCAGATAAGTGTAATTTAATCTATGTATTACACATACATAAATACTTAAACTTAAAAAAGTATATCCCAGGAATAATCGGGATAAGGCTAGCTACACATGCAGGCATGGTGCAATTCTCTGAAAGCTTGCATCTATTCTTATCTCTCATATATATATATATATGTATATATAGGGAAGTGTTATTGGCACTCCAAAAATCTCATTCTACACTCCTCACAAGTGTATTTTTCTTTCCTAATATAGAAAATTTGAAGTGTAGAATGAGATTTTTGAAGTGCTAATAACAATTCCCTATATATATATATATATATATATAGCTTACTCATAGATTATGTGGCTTAAAGTCCTGTATGGCTTTAAGTGGCACAAGAATTTAATACCATCCCCTAGCTAGCGAAAACAGCACGATATGGAGGACTTCATGATCTCCAATGGGTAAGAAAACCCATATTATCTTCAACAATCCTAAAAGCAATCCACATTGCACTTGCACACCAAAATCTTACACCATCCTCTAAAATCAAGAACCCAATCCTATTTCCTTGCCAAGAAGCTCACTCCATTCTTAAATGAAAAACAAACCCCATATCGATCGCCTACTCAAAGAGGAAGAGAATGTCACTAAATAAAAAAGTTAGTATTGGTGCATGGCAGTCAAGTAATGTTAATGGTACACGCATATATTACACATCCATTCATCTACAGAAGTAATTTCCACACAATTTTTTTTTTCCTTACACATCTTTATTAATTTCTGGCTATTGAATTAAATAAATCAAAAAAGAATCACTAGACAAAAACAAACAAGAGTAAGAAAATAAGTGTCTGAAAATTATTTCTCATATATCTGTCAATGCATGCCCTAAGGTATTGCATTTAATTGGCTATGTAGAATGAACTTTCATAACCAATGTATACTATAACCTTTTAGGGTTTCCTACCATTACTGACCGAAAAGTATAGGATCAAGTTCCCATGTTCATTCTAGATTCCACCTTTTTCCCATAAAGTCCTACGTAGTAGACATGGAAATACATGGTAAAGATTTCCAAACCTGATCACTTTGCTGATTAATATGAAAACCTAAACCTAGTTATCTATAATTGTTATAAATTCACCCTCCACCTCCGTTCCCTTCATTATACGGATGCAAGGGTCCTACGAAATTAAACACGAAAGAAAACAAAGACTAGGAAGAAGAAGAAGATGATGAACAGCTAATGAGAAGAGAATCAAAAAGAAAAATTATGTACAAAAGCATATAAATATATAATAAATTAAAGTAATATCTCCACGACGATATAAATCTCTCTCTAAGTCCAAAGAATAACATTAAAAGTTCAAGCACATACGACTGAGAATCTGAAGGTACACTAGCTAGCTATTCAGTTAGAGATCGAATTAAATACCATGGCAGCAATTAACACATAAAACAATAATCAATATTATGATCCATTCTATTGATGTTGATGATGATGATCTTCTTCTTTGGGCTCCTTTCGAATCTGCGGCACGATATCCTGAAGAAGTCCATGGTCTCTAAGAAAATTGGTAGCCGAAGAAGAAGAAGGGGGTCCTTCAAAATTATATCTCTCTTGAAGTAAACTAGTAGAAAATGAGGAGGGATTAAAAGGACCGCCGCCAGCACCACCACCGTAGGTGGAAGAGCTGATATTCAAAGAAGGGGAGGATTGATACATATAAGCATATTGATGTTGCTGCTGTTGTTGATAGTGATGATGATGAGGTAAACACTGCTGAACACCAAAGGGATTTGATGACGCCTCCGCAGCAGATATAAACCCAGTAGACTGATGCGGCAGTGGTGCAATTCCCATTGTGCCACGCGGTGTAATGGGACTTGGATGCGTGTGTTGGCCTTCGTATGTGGTGACCACAGTGGACGGGTCGTCGGACGACCTCTCCACCCTCTTCTTCACACCACAGCCCGCAGTGGTGCAACGATAATAGCTCCTGCGTTGACATACATACATTACAAATTAATTAACATTATTAATCATTACGTGCCCCCTAAGAAATTGAGGGTGAAATTCAATTGATACACAAATGCATGTATAGTAACTATAAGTACACTGAACAAATGAGTGAATGATTGAAATAGGGGGTTGAGAATGAAGGTAAGGGCTTTGGAGAGATTTTTGTTTTAAACAACCGGTAGTCTACTCTAAAATTATTCTAAATTTCAAACTTTAGATGTAGAGCAGAAAGCGCAATTTTTTTGTCAAACTTGACTAAGCTCAAATTTGCGTGATTTGCGTCGAGGGTTTTGAGAAAATATGTATACCTGGGATAAGGGCTATTTTTGACAGCTTTTTGGCCGTATTTTCGCCATCGGTAGCCATCATCTAGGTTATCAACCTCACTCTTTGTCATGAACGCAAATCTCGGCTCCCTCTGCCTTTTTTGGTTCTTCTTTTTCGGTTTCAATCTGTATTTCCATCATCAATCAACTTGTTAGTACTCAACTTTCCCATCACAAAAATCAGAAAAGGAAACAACGACTTCCAATGACCCATCAACAAAGAAAAATTAATATCTTACACAAAAAGTTGATTATAAAAAGAAATTAAAAAAATCTGAAACCATACTGGCTATATGTTAGCCGTCTGCACTATATTAGACAGGACAAAACATACACAAAAAACCTTAGAAAAAATCAAATGAATAATTAGCAAGTAGGTCATACTGCTTCTGGGTTTTCTCTGGATCTTGCTCATCGGCTTCCTCTTCCTGCACTTTTGTCATTTGGCCCTCATTATTATTCGCCCCAGCTTCATTCGACGACGAAGAGATCGAAGACGAGTTCGGCGTTGTCGGAGCCGTACTGCTGTTCAAAACCTCCGAGGTTGTATTGGTAGTAGTAGCACTCTCCCTCTCCGGCAGCGCTACTACTGTAGAAGTAGATGCTGGAGAGGGAAGTGATTCTTGCTGATTGTGGTGAGGTGGCATCATCATGAGCGACGACGTAGTTTGAGGGAAATCGAATAGAGAAGGAGCGTAGTCTGGGATTCCGAGCAAGTCCATGAACCCTCCAAGAGAACCCTTTTGATCTTCGCACGAAGATGGCAGGTCGAATATGCCGGAAAATGAAGGAAAGTTGGTCGGAATCTCGTCGGAGAAAACTGCCGAATTTGCCATGCTGTTGCTACGATCGGTGGTCTTTAGCTTTTCTTCTCTACCATCCATGGATTGTTTTTAAAAATCAGAAGCACATATTCCCCATTTGAACTTGTTCTCCAAGTCTCTCAGATATTGGGATATAGAGAGACGAGAGAGAGAGAGAGAGAGAGAGAGAGAGAGAGAGATGCAAGAGGAGAGAGAGAGAAATGTGGAAAGGAAGATAGAGAGAAAGTGATTTTTATTTGCCTTATTATATAAAAACCAAAATATAAAAGAAGAAAAAAAGAAATGTTTTTCTTATTTTTTAAAGTGTGAAAGGACTCGGGCAGGGATTTTGGAGAACAGCTTGGCTCGGAGACGTTTCCCACCCAAACCGACACGTGTCGGTGGGGTTCGAGCGGACGGAGCTTGTAGACGGGACGGTGGCCGAGCATTAATGGATGCTGCGTGGACCCCTTCGGAGCGGAGGAGGGCCCACAGTCGTTTCTTAACGCGGGATTTTGACTGGTGGGGAACCGGCCGAGTCCGTAGGAATGTGGACGGGGGCTTTGGCCTCTGCAGGTACACGTGGGCTATCAAAAAGGCTTCACTTCTCTGCATGCATGTGCAGCTATCTCGAAAACCATTTTCAAGTTTCTTTCGCGGCTTTTGCCTTTTAGGTTTTAACTTTCAATCGCCAAAACCTACTCTAACAGCAAAAAATGAAACAGAAAACTCCTTTTTTATCAAGTTACTATGTATTCAAAAAAAAAATTCAACAGTATGTTATATACGTGCACAACATGCTAAACCAAGTAAGATTGTAAGAGGTAGAAAAAAAGAAGAGTGCATGAAAATAAAATTGGATTGCTAAAATTACTTCCGAATCTTTAAGCTTAAAGAAACCATATGAGTTTTTCTTTTTTTTTCTTTTTGCTCAATAAGCAGCCTAATGTGATAAGTTCAAATCACCTGATCACAAGAATCCATCATTGTTGATCGTTATATAAAAGTAATCTAATGATCGATATTAAACTTAAGTTCAAGTTCAATTTTATTAGCATTTGTCTTTTTGGGGTTAATGTTAATCTTTGTATTTAGACTCAATGGTTGATACCCTGCTTTTGCACATTCACTAAATGAGCACTTGTGAGAAATTAACTAATGAAGTAAAATGACTTCCTTATTTCTGGTAAAAATATTTTTATTAATATATGCATGTCTTTTTCGTTATGGAGTTGTTTTGTATAATTATTTTCGATGAATGTCACTTTCTTCATGGCTCACGCCATCAACTGTTATGTATCTTTTATATAAACCACATGGGCCACGTGTCTCTCATCTCTCCCCACAAATCAAAATGTACAATAAAAAACCTAAACTTACACTTTAAGGTTTAAAGATATCATACTTTAAAATTTGAAATTGATTTTTTTCTTGGAAATAAAATGTAATTTTAGTAGTAATGATCCATAACGTATATAGGGTAAGAATGTCAAAAAGAACTAAGAGATCGCATACATCAAAAGAAACAACAGAAATTAACAAGTAAAAACTCATTAAAGCACGATGCAATTCAATCACAACCCATATCTAAAGAAACTTGCAAGTTGCAAGTTGTAGAACCATCGAAAAGGCAACACGAGGAAAAGACCACACTGCCCTCTGGTGCACTACAATAAATCGACTCGAAGAAATCCTCATAGTCATTTTTCATGCACCAAACCACAAGTAAAACTTAATCCACCACCTCAACTTTGAACAACAATCGCCCCACAAAGCTCCGAGTATAACTACCAAGTTAGAGCCGTAATACGAAAACTCTTCTCAACAGAGCGAGAGAGCGATCAAAACTCTTCTTGCAGGAGCAAAAAGATCGTTGAAGTTTCACCATAATACTAATTGACAATATGGAGAGTAATCCAACATTTTAAACTTTTTTACCTTCACATCCTCACAAAAATAAAAAAAAGGTCAAACAGAGATTGCCGCTGACTATAAGACAAAGTAAGTTTTTCTTTTTTCGCTTTATACTTGGAAATTACTTTTCTCTTAAATTTATGTATTTATCACCGTTAATATCTGAAGTGGTGTGGAAAATTTTCAAATTTAAACAAACTGTCAATAATACAGTAAACGTGAAATTATTTTGTTTACATGACATTTATGACAATATGAAAACCTGTAACGTTTTATATGAATCCATTTGTTGTCTAGTTTATTAAAAGACAAAGTTGAAGATTGTTTTGTTTTCTGTATGCGACCATTTTTTTAATTTTATTTGAAGGAGAAAATATTTTCCATAATTTGTTTCAGTCACTAAAATCTTTTCATCAAGATAAGTGTATCCTTTGGACATATATATCGTCCTGCAATGAAATAGCTGGAGCTTCAAAAAGTGTCGTAATCTCAATGAAAAGGATATGTATATTTTTATCCCAGCAAATTGTTGAAGCATGTAACTTGATAAAAATTTTCTCTTCAACCTCACACTTAACCTTTTTTTTCAAACGAAAAGGACATGTATATTTTTATCGGAGCAAATTGTTGAGGCATGAATGTTTACATTAGAAACAAAAGTATTAAACAACCATTCGGGCTCAACATGATCCCATCTATATATGAAAGTCTCTCAAAACAAAATAAATTTCTCTTTAACCTCACACTTATTGGACGTCACAAGTAATTTTGTTAAAGACAATTTTGAATTTTAACAGAAATGAATTACTGTAACCATACTTTGACAAAAAAAATATTACTGTGATCATACTCTAAAAAAAAAAGAATTTACTGTAATTTATTTTCATATAACCCACCTTTGCTACGACATTGGCACCCAAGTCCTCATTTTTCCAGAACTCGATGTGGGACAATGGAGGCCAGTTCTGCCTCTTCATATCTGAATTAATTACATGAATAAGCAGAATAAAGCAAGTTTTAAGATATATTGGATTTTCTTTGACACAGAGATTTAAATTTATCAAATGTAAAACATAGAATACATGTAACGATTCATACGTACTTATTTATTTATGCAAGTAAAAAACAACTTATTTATTTATGTATATTAAAGTTGTGGAGCATAAATAATAAGGAAATCGATGGGACGCTAAGGGATCCCACGTGTCAAATCGAAAGGTTCACCTTTATCTGATCAGGCTTTCAAGTTTCAAAGCACATGCACTTTACGCGGTTTCAGTAAATTATATTCTACGATTGCTTCCGTTACACGCCCTCTATTGTCTACACTGTCTTTTCCTTTTTCTTTTTTTTTTATTCATTTCTTTTCTTTTTGATTAATATCAGAAAGATCATATTTTTACTGTATGAGAAATCTTAAGAAACCTCTAATGAAGTCTCTATCATCTTATATTTTTTTTGCACAATATTTTAGATTTTGGCATGAAAGTTAAACTTAAATTGTGAGGTGACAGAGTTCATAGAGAGTCTCATTTTGTGAGAGTTTTTTTAGCATTTCTCTTACCATATTGATATACGATAATATACTAATAAGTGATGCATACAACCAACATTTAATCATATAAATTTATTAATTTACATGATATGCAAACATCATTTATCACGTCAAATGGTAGTAATAGATCTATCTCAAATGTCATATTTTCTTGTTGTTCTTCCTCTTCTGGGAAATTTCTTTTCCGTACATCAATTTCGTAGCAATATTACACCAATGACTATTGTGGTTTTCTTTATGGTCCAGCTACGTTATGGAAGTAATGGATCTATCTCAAATGTCATTAATATTTAATGATGCATCATCCTTTCCTGAAATTAACTGACCGTTGTTAGAATTTTCTTATTAACTTATTATTATGTAATTAACTAATGTTTATTCTCATGTGCATATTCGAGTGACTTGTTGTGTTAAGCTTCCTAGAAGCACATATCTTAGATTGCTAATTCGACTTAGGGTGTGTTTTGGAAGTGTTAGAAATAACCAAAAAAGCATTATTTTTCATTGGATCATTTACGGAAAAAAGAAGGTATCGGTACCTTTGTTTATTAGAGGACGTTATCATCATTATTTACTTTTGGATTCAATACTTTCATGATTAACATCAATATATGAATTACATTAAATGTAATATTACACAACTCTACAATCGCAAAATGTTAAAGTTAACAACATAGAATGACATTGTTAATACTGTAATAAGATTGATGTTTACATTAAGATGAACATTTTACATTGATAAATAAACACATACCTAAAACATACCTGTTAAAACACACCTGACTAAGAAAAATTGCTTGATATGTACAAAGACACTCCAAAAACAAACCTTTTTATGGTGGATTAATTTCGGTTGTAAATGATTGCGAGGGTCGTCATGCATGCCATCTTTTTGGCTAAGCTCAAAAGTTAACACATTAGATAGATGGTGCTTTCTTGGGGTTTCATGCAACAAAAAGGTCGATATTAAGATTGAAATATAGTTAGCTAATATATGTACCCTCACTATATACCACCTAGTTTACTGAACAAGTTTTCCAAACTTGCAATATTCCACGAGATTTGAGGTATGCATATCATAAAACTATTGGGTAATATGTGTGCGCTCTTTTCCTCCTTTTCTGGTGTCTGGCTAAGGAGCAAGGAGCTGCTGCGAATAACTTATCCGCAACGAGCTGTTTAACATTTTGTATTTATCTTTTTTTATGTGACTGCGTGATACGTTAAACAATCACAAATCTTCTATATATAAAGCCAATAGAAAAGATGAATAGTGATTTTGGTGTCACCAAGCTTCAAAAAATAAAAATAAAAATAAATGGACAAAAATGCCCCAAGACAAAAAACTTCAAAGGCATCCCAAAATAATGCATTAAATAAGGCTGGGGCATTTTCGTTATTTTAACAGTATTTTTTTAATAATTAAATTTTTTTGTGGTTTGTTTTTTTTTTAATTAGTATCTCACAATAGACTAACAATAATGTGATTCACTTTCTCTATTTTTAAACACGTTCAAAACATCTTAAGAGGCGTGTAATGTCAGTTATAAAAAAGGTCATTCGCACGCGGATAATAATGTGATTAAATTAGTTGTCAAATGATTTTTTTTAACAAACGATATTATTTACACTAAGGGGGAGGGGTGGACTTATAATAATGTGATTAAATTAGTTGTCAAATGATTTTTTTTTTTAACAAACAATATTATCTACACTAAGGAGGAGGGGGTGGGTTTAGCCTCACAATGGATTAGCAATAATGTGATTCAATCAGT